CATTTGTCGCATGATGGGATTTACACGAGGCGCTTGGGGCACACACTGCTGTAGCTGGTACAGTGGTTTAAGCGCACCAGATCAAATTTGGTTGGACCGTGTCGGTTGTGTAGGTGATGAAACAAGCATCGCAGAGTGCCGACATGGCGGATGGGGAAGTCACAATTGTGATCATTCTGAAGATATTGGAGTAGTCTGCAAATATACACCACCACCAACGCCAGGTAAAATATTTCAAACTTGTCCTCAGCTAGTCATGGTCACTGAAGACCTTCATTGTTCCATTTTGCGAAACAATTTGCGTAACGAACCATTATGTCAGGATTATCATCAATATGATAATTATTCGGACCTATTTCAAGAGAACAGTAGCCTGCGTGCAGACGTCTCCTATTTCCTTGCTTCACACGGAAAAGTCACTTTTCCACGTGATGCAAGGAAATAGGAGACGTCTGCACGCAGGCTAGAGAACAGTTCCTTTGTTTTATTTTAAGTATACTAATTGAGGCGGACGCCTCACGCATTCGGACGCGTCATAGTCCCAACCACATACAAAACGCTACATTTTTAACCTCCAATGAGCCGACACCTCTTTTAAGTAGACACTTTTTCTGGTCCAGAGCGTGTCTGCTTACGGGATGCTCGACTGTACTTTGCGTTTTAAAATTTTGTCACAAATTAAAAGTTGTTAACCCTATTCTGGGGTGCAGAAAGTGCCCGCGCTGATATATTTCACATTTATCTTACAAAGAGCATTCAAGCATTTATGGCCAAAAAATTCCTAAAAATTATCTGGAAACATTTTGTTGTGTCAATTGTTTGATCACGTGACTTGACGTTTCCATGGCAACCAAGATTTGACAAGTCGTTTTACCCAAATTTGGTGTTTTCAGCTTTAGGTCATGAAATTTTCGCCATTTACGAAGGATTTCTTCAAAAATGTTTACAGTTTTTGATTTTTTCACATCAAATTTGGAAATTTTCTGACATTTGTGGAAAATCTAGAAATCCAAGATGGCGGATTTTTAAATGTATGACGTCATTTTGGCGTGATACGACGTCATAATTGACACGCGTTTTTCACTAAAATAAACATTTTTGGATGCTTTACACACCATATATTAGTTTCATTTTCATGGCGTAAATACTTTTCGAGACACAGGCCGTTTTACCCAAATTTGGTGTTTTTTAGCTTAATTTTCAGTTTCATGATTTTCGCTTAGTCATGATCCCAGCCACATACAAATACTATTTTTAAACCTCCAATAAGCGGACACCTCTCCTGGAAACTTTTACTCGTCCCAAGGGTGTCAGCTTACGGGAAGTTCAACTGTATTATTGTTATTGTAGTATTTATTATAAGTATCCTTTCTCAGATCAAAAGGTGAGACTAGCTGACGGAATAAGAGACGGAGAAGGAAGAGTTGAGGTATTTCACAATGGCCACTGGGGTACTGTTTGTGACGATAATTGGGGTATGGAGGAGGCGCAAGTCGTATGTAAGCAACTCGGGTATAATGAAACCCTTGCTGCCCCAGATTGGCTACTTTTGGTGAAGGAAATGGTCACATATGGCTGGTCAATGCGCAGTGCAAAGGCAATGAAAGTTCGATTCTTGATTGTGAGAATGCAGGGTACGATGTTCATCCCTACTATTGCCAACACTACGAAGATGCATCAGTCATCTGCTGGAATGAAAGTAGAAGTTTACCAACAGGTACGTTACTTAATCCTTTCACTCCCAGAGTCAAACCTTGAACCAGTTAATGCGGTTGTAACTGTTCTTTGAAAGAGACTCCATCCTGAAGTTTTTATTGCCTTCATTCTGTTGTCAAGAAAGAAATTAATGTCAAAAATGTAAATATTATTTCACATTTTGCAATTGCAGACGACTTCCTGCTACTTTACGAAGGTAAACGTGGACTGTGCCAATACGTCTCTCTGCCATTGGGCCCGTCTCCAGTAAAATTACTACCATTGCGTATTGATATTGGTGTTTTTCCATATCACATATTCTACGATCCAGTGGATGGACGAATCTACTGGACTGGTGCATATGGAACCATCTATCGAGCTTTCTTAAATGGCGAATCACGAGAAGTGGTGATAAGTGGCGTTTCTTTTATATCGTGTTTCGGGATAGATTTTGTTGGAAGGAACATGTACTTTGTGACTATTATAGCAGTAACGTCAGAGTGGCATCTCTTGATGGCAAACTTCAAGCTAACGTTGTTGAGATCCCTTATCCTCAAGGGATTGTTGTGGACAGCGAAACTAAGTAAGAGTCATTCAATTACTATTTATAGCTAGGGTGGTTCTCAATTGAGTGTCGAAAGTAAGTTGGTTTTGCTTTACTACGCTCTGTGATTGGTTTCAAAAACTCGCGCCACCTACTCAACCAATCAGATGCAAAACCAAAACCAATCACCACTTGGTCGCACGCGCATGGCGCAGGTTAGGTGTATTTGCTGCAAGTTCTCATTGGTTTATTCTGTTGTTTACGTTTGTTATGATTGGCCATTGTAATTGCTTTGGTTTTTTGTCACGATATTTTTAGCATTTTTGCGAAGTGCCAAATCACCTTCAAACTGAAGAGAGCCTTAAAATGATAGCTCACTAAGGTAGAAAAACACTAAAGAGGTAATAATAAACCAAACAGGAACAAGGATGGTTGAAGATGAAGAAGGATTGTGAATGGCGAACTTGAAAAAATTGGCCAATTTTTAAGATACGTAATCAGATTGTATAATCTTTTGTTTTTTGTTCTTGTGACACACAGGCGCATGTTCTACACCTCATATGAGACGAGCAGCAGTAGCAAAATAATATATCGAGCAGATATGGATGGTAAAAACCAAACGGTCATCGCAAATGTGTCCTTAATTGCTGATACAGATTATCGCATGGCTATGGATTATCAAAGACACTATCTATTTGTTGCTGACAACAGCAAGATACGGTATATTAAGCTGAACGATAACAATGAGATCAACACTCTGTTTCATGAAATACTAACACCAACAAATATCCAGATTCTGAACGGCACTATGTACTGGGCCACGCAGGGTGACGGAGGATTTCAAGGAGCCCTCTTCTATACCAACATAACTGAGAGCGCGCCTACGGCTAAAGCGGTGGCTGACAGTTTGGGGGAACCAAGTGGGATATACGTGCACAACTCATTGTCAAGTCAAATACCCGGTAAATAAGCATTAAACAAAACGCAATTATATGGCGAACTTTGTTTACGTCAATTTTCATTTTATCATTATCATTAGCATAAATTTAACTAAAAATTAAATTCAGTCTGGCACACTTATAGATGGATAGCGACTGTACCGTAATTTAATAACTGTAGGAAATATGAGAGAATTGCATTAAATATGGAAGGAGATATTTAATTTTGAAAACCGTCAAACTTAATTACAGACGTTTGCTATAATGGCTGGGTGGTGAGAGGTTACCATCCAGCCATACAAGGTTTTAAGCCTACAAGCCTGCAAACCGATTACGATTACGCATGCGTGACGGCAACATTGCACCGAGGGAAGGGGGGATGCTTAATTTTTCAGAGTTTTTGCGCTAGTGTCCCAAGAAGATTCGCCAGGGTTGTATGACGATGGCTAAGTTTTGCATGCTCTTTTCAGTTATGAAATCTGATTTTGTAATCGGGTGAATTTCTAAATACGACATGTGAATTAATATGCTTAACACGTACCAACCGCAAACTTTACTAAGTACAAGCTGATTATGAAATTTAACTCCTTTTCAGTGGATTCTCCATGTAAGATTAATAACGGTGGATGTTCTCAGCTCTGTGTCTTGAATCCCAATGGCCGACGTTGCTTGTGTCAAGCTGGAATGAAGGTTGCCGACGATGGAATATCTTGTAAGTTTCTTGCATGACATGTATTTAGGCAAGAAAGGCTGATCTAAGAGAAGGATTACCCGTGCCCCATGATAGTTTTTTTTTTAATATACCTTTTATAGGAAATTAACGCTCGTGTTAATTAAGGTATTTGAAATTAACGCGACTTAAATTAACGCGAATTGGATGGAAAAGTACTTCAAAATAAAGGATCACCCTTGGGAGCTTCTCCCCCGAACCCATAGGACTTTATTCTTAAGCTTGTTACTGATAGGTATAATTGATTCATTTTTTTACGGAGGATTGCTTTCTTTTTTACAACATAGTAATTCCCATGCTTTGCTTGTAGGTACGCTTGGCGATGTTGTGCTTGTTACTGATATCGATCACCAGGATATATTGTACTCTCCATTAACCGGAAACATTCTCAGTCCCCTACCGCTTTCAAATGTTACTGCTCCAGTTGGCATAGCCTTTGGTCCATGCGACGATCACGTGTATTGGACTGATTCCGAACACCATCTTGTCGCCCGATCCACAATTGATGGCAAGAAGCAGGAAATCATTCGTTCGAATGTCACTGAACCCACAGGCATGGATTTGGATCTTGTGGGAGGACATGTCTACTGGATAAACCGTGGCGATAGTACCATCGAGGTTTCAAAGTTGAATGGCGATTATTGGAAAGTGCTGGTTTCTAATGTGACTTCAGGACCATTCGACATTGGTTTGGATCCAACCAGAGGGTAGGAACAATTTTTCATAACCTTAGCTTACCATTTACATCTACTAATGATTTTAAAGGAAACCTCCACTGTTGGAAACATTGCCGTTAAATTGTTGGAAATATTGTCTAAACTAAAAATATGTTGAAATAGATTGGAAAAACGTCTTAGTGTACAGAAATAATGGATACAAATATCAGCCATTTGGGGGTTAAATTTCGCGCGCCTTAGAATATAAAGAGATCAATAGTTAGGCTAAAGGGACTACATATCGACCTTGGATAAGCTTCACCAGCCTAGTGGCCTACAACTGGCAGAGCTTATCCCGGTTTCAGTGTAGCATTTATACTCCTGGGTGGAGAGAGGCAATGTGAGAGTAAAGAGTCTTGCCCAAGAACACAACACAATGACCCAGGCCAGGACTCGAACCCGGACCGCGCGAATCCGTAGTCCAAAGCGCCAACCATTAGGCCACTGCGTCACTCCGACCTTAGATAAGATTACTGTTAAATACTTTACCGTTTCTTTGCCTAATTTCCTGACCATTTGGTTACAAGCTTACCAGTAGCAGAAACATAAGAAATGTATGTTTATTCATCTACTGTCTGTTCATCGTTCAGGTACATGTATTGGTCGGCTCCAGGAATCATTGAAGGAGCAGAAATGGATGGATCAAACCGACGTACAATTGCTTTGTTGGGAGTAAATTATTACGGTGACCCTATCGATGCCAAAGGCCTAACGGTGGATGTTCCGATGAATCGACTTTATTTTGTTAGCTACGAAAAATATGCTCTACTGTACATTGATCTCGCTTCTGGAAACAACGCTGTCGAGACACTGATTAGTCATTTTTGGCTTTTCTTTGGCCCATATGGAATTGCTATCAGTGGCGAGTACGTGTATTGGAGTGAGCACATACTTTATGGAAGGGTATTTCGGACAAATAAGACTTCCGCTGATGTGGTTGAAGATGTAGTCCAAGGACTGTATAACCCCAGAGGAATTGCAGTTAAAGAAGGGAACTGTACACTAAACAGCAGTGAGTACTTCTTTTAAATAACAAATTTAATTTCTGATATACACTCTTAAATCCAGGACACTTCACGTGACCCTGACAATCATAAAGATATGTGGTAATACAAAATGGCTGCCATATATGGAACCACGATGGCGACGGCAACGAGAACGTCACAAAACTTACAATTGCTCTGCACGTGCGTTTACTTTTTGGTACATTTATTTGCCGTCCTCAAGTTGTAAAACAAAAACGTAAAATGACCAAATTCGTGATATTATCGAGAACGTGATCACACGACGGTGAATTTTCCTTTCTCTATCTGGACTTGAACTCCATCCCTACGAATTCAGATCGGAATCCTGTTCGGCCACATTCGGCCACATTGGACAACGTGTTGGAATAATCGTGAAGTAGTTTATTGGAAAGTGAATTCACTTTTTAATAACGTCAATAACACGACAACGTGACATACATTTCATTTAAAGAAATGATTGTGAAATGGAAATGGAAAGTGTGCATTGAAATTGATTGGTATAAGGTTGCCAACTTTGAGAGGTTTGAAAGTTTGAAAAATTTGGAAAAAATTTGCTGGATGCCAAGGCTTGCCATCCAACGATATTTTCACAAAAAAATCCTCTAAAAAACTTTGAAACTGCCATAAAGTCTCACTCTTGATCATCAATGGTCTCAGAATTGGCATTCTTGCTAATTTCATCACGGTCTCTCCATTTCTGGCAACCATTTTGTACTTAAAGTTCTATGGTCAGCTATTTTTGTGATTGACAAGATCACATAACAGGGTTCTACCGGCAAAAGGCCTATTAAAAATTGCTAATCAGGTGCATATACTATTTCTTGGTTGGACCACATTGACATTTGTTGCACTCCATGTCCTGATTGTACCATTTGGTAAACTGTGCCGCATGACACATTATTTGCTGTTTGGTTAACATTGTATTACCTTTTTATTGGAAATTTTCCTCGAAACCTATTTGGCGCATAATTCTGAATCTGAATCTTAATTCTGAATATGAAGCAGGCGCTTGGCTATTTACGAGTTGCCTTTTGCCTCTGTTTCAAACGAGTCCTGGTGAACAACCTTTCGTATGGAAATGAGTTTTACTTGCACGTTAATTGTCTTGCAAATCAAACTCATTTCAATATGAAAGGTTGTACACCAGGACTCATTTTGAAACAGAGGCAAAATGCAACTCAGAAATGGCCTATTAAAAAAATAATTACAGCTTTCTTTTGCAACATTTCAAGCTCTCCTCGATCATTCTCGCATGTCGAGCAATTCTCCTTTGCTCTTTTTCGGCGGCTCTGTTTCTGTTTTTTTTTACTTTTAGTAGCTATGTAGAAAAAGGGATTTAATATTCTACAGTAGATATCAATGGATGACCAATTCTCGATGGCTTATAAATTCTTTGTTTTCCTTCTTAGCTGTTCATCCATGTAGTACTAACACTAGTGGTTGCACTCACCTTTGCCTGATAACTCCGTCTGGATATAAGTGTGATTGCCCGGAAGTTATTGACGATGGACGAAATTGTACTCCATCATTTGTTTATTGGCCACCGACAACCAAGCCTCCAACAACGACAACCAAACCTCCGACAACCACACCCATACCTCCAACAACGACACCCATACCTCCAACAACCACACCCAAACCTCCAAGCACTACCCCCGTTGACCACTGCGAGCTTACAACTTGTCAGAATGGTGCGACATGTGAAGTGGTTGATGATGGTTTCAAATGCCACTGTGAAGGGTACTTTGGTGGTGCTGACTGTTCTACTAGTTTTGGTAAGTTTGACAATAATTAAAATTCATATAGCGCAAATTTCATAAAAATGCTCAAAATGCGCTTGACTGACTGACTGACTGACTGACTGACTGACTGACTGAATGACTGACGTCCAAATTAATGGAAATCATAATCGTGAATCGTGAGGGTGGTTTGGATACTATATATCTGATCATAATTAGCATAGATTTATACGACTTTATTTTCCTGTTTAATTCAGTCACTGTGAGACGTTAGTTTTAGTCTTGATTGAGAAGATATGTCAAACACTCGAGACCGTGTTTCATCTGATTTTCAAACCTCGAATTTGGTCAAAAATACTCTGTTGCACGTCGTATTTTCAACTCTCCTCTTGGTGTTTGTAAATGTGATGAAACACTGTCTCTCGTGTTTGATATGTTGACTCAAAGTACTACAGGCCTATGCCGTTAAATATGTTCATGAGAAGTATAATTAACTTTTAAAATCTTTTTCATGCTTTAAGCAGCACAGACGGCCATAACTTAAGACCGAACGCCAATGTTGCCGGCCCTTTAATAGACCAATATGTTGTACTTGGCTCCATCATGCATCCACACCAGCCCTGCTTTTCCATGTGTCTTTCAACTGATCTCGTCCAAGTCTCTGTCGGACGTAACGGGTTTCTTTTTTTTTAACTAGAGTCCATCTCATTGCAATTTTCGGTATTGCTGATGGTTTCCGACCCAATTTACATTGCCAAACGACACATTCAATGTTTGATCTCAACATAGATAGCACGGTGTTGTTTGATGTGAGTCGTATTTTTAATTTTCGATGCGGTTGGGACAATAAATCCTAACTTAGTATCCTTCTGAGGCATTTGCTTTGGAATATCATGAGAAGTAAAATTCACTTTAATTTATTCCATTCAACTCAGTTTGGTTAGCTTCACCTAAAATACACAACCTAACTGTTTCAATCTTTCCTATTGCAGTAGATGAAGTGACCGAGGTTACTTTCAATATGACAAAAGATAAGGTTAGTCCTTTAATAATTTAATTTGTGTATTTTTTTCGTATGCGGTAGCCTGCGAAGTCCAATATCCCGTAACTGGACACCCTTGGGGACCCTTGTGTCCGCTTAGTGTTTGTATGTTGCTGGAACCATGACTTAATTTCCCGCCTTAGAGAGGTGTCCGCTTATGGGAGGTTAAATAAAGTACAGTCGAAGCTTCCGCAAAGCGGACACCCTCGGGAAGCAGAAATAGTGTCCGCAACTGAAGCTAGCCGTAGACGTAAACGGACAGTTCTACTTACGGCCGCCTTGACAAAACCCCGTTTGAACTCTAGCTCATACAAACTCTGTATTTACACATACCAGTAAGCGGCTAGCTCCAGTTGCGGACACTATTTCTGTTTTCCCGAGGGTGTCCGCTTACGGGAGCTTCGACTGTAGTTACCACGTGACCAAGAAACAACCAACGAGAGCATGCATTACATCAAACTAAAACCCTGACTATATATCAACAAAACTTGTCATTTTTTGTTTGTTCATCTCTAGTTCAATGAAACTGAAGTGGCAATTGTTATTTCGAATGCACTCAATTCGGAATGTGCGGAGAGCACAACACCGCCACCAGAATGCTCGATTGGTGAAAGGTAACTTACTTATCTTTCTACTGTATCTACCTATCTACCTACCTAGTGTACCCACCTACCTGGTGTACCTACCTACCTGCTAACCTACGTTGATTGCTTGCTTGCTTGCTTGCTTGCTTGCTTGCTTGCTTGCTTGCTTGCTTGCTTGCTTGCTTGCTTGCTTGCTTGCTTGCTTGCTTGCTTGCTTGCTTGCTTGCTTGCTTGCTTGCTTGCTTGCTTGCTTGCTTGCTTGCTTGCTTGCTTGCTTGCTTGCTTGCTTGCTTGCTTGCTTGCTTGCTTGCTTGCTTGCTTGCTTGCTTGCTTGCTTGCTTGCTGCTTGCTTGCTTGCTTGCTTGCTTGCTTGCTTGCTTGCTTGCTTGCTTGCTTGCTTGCTCGCTCGCTCGATCGATCGATCGATCGATCGATCGATGGATGGATGGATGGATGGATGGATGGATGGATGGATTGATTGATTGATTGATTGATTGATTGATTGATTGATTGATTGATTGATTGATTGATTGATTGATTGATTGTTTGATTGAATTTCTTTTCACACTTTTAGCACTGAATCTATCGCCAAACGCGCTGTACAGAGTGGTCCCTTTTATCCTAAAGACATATATTTCCCATCAGCTCCAACGAAAGTCGACGGAGGAATTTTAGTTGAGTATGCTGTGGTAAGAACTTCAGCGGCTGGTAAATCTGTGGTTGTGCCGAGTACATTCGTAACTGCTGTGACTGAGAAGAGGGCTGCTGAGATTGGAAAGAACGTTGGAGAAACGTCATGGCTGTCAGACAAAAGCCAGTGGAAAAAGTTACTAGCCTCACCACAAACCGGACGATCAAATGGAGGATTAATTGCAGGAGTAGTCGTATCTGTGGGACTTATCGTTATTGTCGCTGCTGTAACTGTATGGTATTACAGGTAAGAAACCTAATGTGGGTCCTAACTATAGAAAATCGTATGGCCAACTCGTGCACACCATTTGCGATTTTATGGGCGCTATTGATGTTTTGAAAATTCCAAAACATCACAAAGCTACCATAAA